TAATTGAGGTATTTTTGAATCAAAGCAAAATTATCTTAACATAAATAAAGCTATATAAACTGTTACTTGAAGACATTTTAACATCATTTAATGAAAAATATTTATTTGTATATTTCTAATTTGTATAATTATTCTGTTAAGAGTTGTGGACTGCATCCTCTGTAAGATATTAGTTTTTAAAGAACTGAAGCAATTTAGAATAAAAACTGATAGCAACTAGAGTTTTTTTCTTCTGCCTGGTACTTCCACCTTAGCCCTTATATATGACAGCTTTTCTTTAGATTTAGATTAGATTTAGATGTGCTTATAAATTCTCCTGAAACATGAAACAACTCCCTGGGAAGAAGTGAATGATTTGCTGCTACATTTAGGTAACTGAGTCAACCTCAGAAATATGGTATTTTTTTCAGCCAAAGAGAACCTTTCTTTTTTTTCCTTTTCTTTCCTTCCGAGGGGCTATGACCTAGGCAAAGCTAGTCCCAAACTTCAGAGCTGAAGCAATCCCATGCCTCAGCCTCCTGAGTGGCCAGGACTACAGGAGTACCCTACCATATCCCTTTCTTTGTACCCAGATCTTGTACCTGCCTTTATAGGAACCTCCAAGTCATTCCTTTCTTAAAGCTCTAGTTCCTATGAAAGAAATAGTCATGCACAAATCTTTAAAAATTCATTGTAAAATGGTATGAGAAAACAAAGTTAAGTTTTAAAAAAATCATATTTACTCCTAATTTACAAGTTCAGATGGGTCCTGATGGATTCTTTTTGGATCCTGACAAGTGTGGGCCTAGTTATTTCATGGATGTAGTTGTCACAACTGGCTGTCTGAAACTGACCTCAAATCTAGCCTGTGTATGGTTCTGTCTTTTCTTTTCTTTATTTTTTTTCTTTTCCCTTTTCTTTTTTTTTTTTGCTACTGGGAATTGAACCCAGGGAAAGTTTTACCGCTGAGCTATACCCTCAGCCCTTTTTATTTTCAATTTTGAGACTAGGTCTTTCCAAGCTGCTGGGGATCTAGCTAAGCTGCTAAGGCTGACCTCCAATTTGCCATCTCCTCAGCCTCCCCTGCTGCTGTGATTACAGGAATGTGCCACCATGCCCAGCTCCCCTCTTCCTTTTTAAATACGTCAAGATAATGAGAAGGATTAACATCATCTCTTGTCCTTTGACTGTTTTCCTTCACTTGGTAACGTCTGGCCACTCTGTTCACCAGTGTACACCTACTCCCCTCTCAACCCATATCAAAGCCCACTCCACACACATACTTCATCCAGGACTCTTGGCCCATGTCTCGAGAAGAACCCAGAGCAGTGGGTATGAATTGCAATCCCCATGTGTCCGTTTGGACACAACATGGCAAGGCTAAGCCAGATAGAGTGTAGTGATGAGAGACACCAGGCCCTCCCATCAGGATTTCTGGTCCCCAAGAGTCTCTCCTGAGCTCCCAGCCTTCTCCTTCTTCTGATTCACTGGCAATCACATCCTGCTCCATAAAACAACAACAATAATAAGTCATCTGTCAGCCCACAATGTGGGTCTCTAGCCCTAAAACTTTGAGTACTAGGTTCAAATCCAAGCTTTGTAACTTCAAGTAACCCTTTAAAAATTTTCTGCCCTGGTTTTCTTCAGTTAAAAAGGGAGGAAATAAAAACTCAGCATGAGCCACATGAGTACGCTAAGTCCAAGTGTCTATAAACTGTTGTGAAATCTATATATGAAAGCAGCTATTATTGCACAATGCTGTCATGGTGGAGTCCTAGCTCCAAAGTCCCAGTCATTTATTTTGCAGTTAATAGATGCCTTTCTCAAGGGAAGAAAAGGACCCTCTCTCCTTTTTACCATGAAGAAGAAACTACTTCCTCATTCTTTTTCCATTATCTCAGTTGCACGCTACTTATTACAGCTAAGAATTCTCTTGTAGCTGAACTTCTCCATGTTCATGAAAACTATGTCTGTTTTCACATTGAGAGATGCACAAGTCATTTATATGCTAAAAAGTATGCAACAACTCATGGTCTCTGTTGTTTGTGTGTAAGGGAACAAATAAACCCTAACTGTATAGTCTTCAGGATGGGGAATTTTTGCTGATGCAATCAACAATTTAAACTGTCAAAAGTAAAGTCAAGCAGGGTACTGGAGTGCATGCCTATAATCCCAGTGGCTCAAGAGATTAAGACAGGAAGATTGCAAGTTCAAAATCAGCCTAAGCAACTTAGCAAGGCCCTAGGTAACTTAGTATGACTCTGTCTCAAAATAAAAAATAAAAGGACTGGGAATGTGACTTAGTGGTTATGGGTCCCTGTGTTCATCCCTAGTACCAAAAAAATAGAGTAAAGTTCATATCTGATCTTACATTCTCTTTGTAGGAAAATAACAACAAAAAGGAAGTATGGTTTATGCCACACACTCCTGAAATCTTAGCTGGGACTTCCCTTTCCATTATCCTAATTTCTATCTTCTGCTATCTTTGTTCATGGAATGGGCACTTGACCCTAAGAACTAGGCCCACATCTGAGATATCAGCATCACCTCTCTGTAGATGTTTTTCCCTCTGAGTAAACTAATGGCTAACATATATTAAGCACTTAGTATAAGCCTCGCACAGTTCAAGGTTATCCATCCATTCATTCATTGTGGGAGCCTTTTCTAGAGCACAGAGCTATGCTGACTCATACCACATCATGAGAAGCAGGGAACGGGACCTATCCTGGCAAACAGACAACTCAATGGAAAATTGAAGCAGAAATTAATAAAAATGATAAACTAAATTGTTAGATATTTTAACAGTCCTCAATTTATGATCTTGTTTGAAATCCACTGTGACCAAGTTTTCACAAGTGGCTCTGGGTACAGACATTTTATAATATTATAAGCCAAATTGTATTTGGTTTGAATATGTGGTGTCCCCCAAAAGCTCACAAGTGTGATAATGCAAGAACAGTAAAAGGTGAAATGATTGGAGTAAGAGAGTAGTAACATATCAGTGGATAATCCACTGATGTGGATTAACTGGGTGGTAACTGTAGGTAGATAGGATAGGGTTGGAGGAGGTACCACATCAGTGGTACTGAAATCCAAGTTTGACCTATTAAATTCAGACTCCTAGGCCCAATCCCTAGTGTTGACAAAATAATTTACGTGTAGGACCCAAAACCTAATTGTTAAAAGTCCTTAATACAAGTGGTCTGTATTAGGGTTCCCTAGAGGAACAGAATCAACAGGAAGTATAAATATAAAAAGTGGATTTATTAGGTTGGCTTATGCAACCAGAAGCTGAATAGTCCACAATGGCCGTCTGCAAGCTGGAGAGCTGGAAGAACTAGTAGATATAGTTCAAGTCCCTCAAAACAAGAGGGATCAATGATGCTACCCTAGTCTGAGACTGAAGGCTTCTAGAGAATCACTGGCAGAGTGCACTTTGAAAGAGTGAAGAAGTGGGAGTCTGATATCCTCAGAGGGTCTCAGCAGCAATCAAGAACCCATTCAAGAAGAATCAGCTTTTTTCTGGGGCTGCTCCCTTGTTCTTTCCATTTTTATTCTATCCAAGCCATCATCCTTTTGGATGGTGCTGCTATCCCACATGCCAATCATTCCTGGATATGCCCTCATCAACATGACCATAAGCCTCTTAATTATCAGCTTATCTTAATCCAATCAAGTTGACAATTCAAATTGACCATTACATGGTCCTATATTCAGACTTTGGGAAACACTGGGTCACATGCAGTTAATAGCCTTGGAGACCTGACCTTGGACACCTGAACACCATTCTGATCCCAGATATTCCTGCCTCTCTGGAACTCAGTTTATTCCTTTGTG